TAATTTGTTCTAGTACAACTTTTGTGGAGCAATGATGCGTTTCTTGTGTTGTAATTATGGATTTCTTTGTTAGTTAAAAAATATTTATCAAAAATTTCTGGAAGATTTTGTAGATGAAAATATCGGAACATAAATAGACTTGTTAAGAAGTCATTCAATTTATACAAGTTTAGTATTTTAAGGTCATTAAAAATTGGTTCAGTATGGTAAAAATAGGATTTGAAGGTCATTAATCTTACTATCTTTTTCTGGATATTTACTAATTTTTGAATGTGGGATTTGTAAGCGTTACCCCAAACTAAATTACAGTATATAAGATATGGATAAACCAATGCGTAATAGATCAGTTTTAAGGAATTTAGGTTTGTAAAATGTCGTATTCTGGATATAATAGCTGTACATTTGATATTTTTTTTTGAAATAAGATCTATATGATCGCACCATGATAAAAATTCATCTATAACAATCCCTAAAAACGTAGTTTTTTTTACTTGTTTTATAGTTTCGCTATTTATAGAAATTCTTAAATCACATTTAGGTTTCTTATTTTTTGATCTGAAAAGGATCAGCTTGGTTTTCGCAGTGTTTATAGATAATTTATTAACATTCAACCAATCTGTAATTTTGTTCATTTCAACTTGAATAGTTTCGTTTAAAGTTTTGAGACAAACATCGCTATACAGTATGTTCAGTTCTCAAGTTAAAGCGAAAGTGAAGGACTGCAGTACATGTCATGACTATGCAGCAGCGCAGCAGTGATGCCGAGCAAGACTCCAGAGCCAGACTATGTCCGAAGCAACATCTCATGACATATTTACGTTCAAGAGCAAAAACTATGTATACTGTCAGTAGATTACTACTCAAAGTACATTGAAGTCACAGAACTCAACGACGTCTCAGCTTTTAGTACCATCGAAGCCCTAAAAAGACACTTTGAGGGACATGGTATTCCAGAAAGGCTAACGACAGACTGTGGCACACAGTATACGAACGTATAATTTAAGAATTTTGCAAACGCCTACAACTTCCAACACGTGCCAAAATATCCTAAAGCAAACGGAGAAGCAGAGGCGGCAGTAAAGATCGTTAAATCATTGTGGAGAAAGAACAATGACAAGCACAAAGCCGGCCTGTTGGTCTATCGAGCAACACCACTAGCAGGCATTGATCTGTCACCATCACAGCTATGTATGGGGAGAAGACTGAGAACCAGCCTCCCGATAGCAAGCAGTTTGTTAGAACCCGAAGCATATAACACAAATGACATCAAGAGACGAATGCGCCATGCAAAGGAAAAGCAAACCTACTACCATAACCGCCATGGGACAAAAGAACTATCCTCACTGAAACCTGGTGAACACGTAAGAATCCGACCAGAACCAGGGTCGAAACTATGGAGACAAGCAACTGTGGTCGACCATCATTCATCACTTCGGTCGTACATTGCAGACACAGGACAACAAAAGCTTAGACGCAACCGAGTAGCCTTAAGATTAGACCCAGGAAGATCAACAGTGGAAGTAGCAGAGAATGATTACGCTACCAACGACGATATGAGCCACCAAGAAACCCTTGATAACCCAAACCTGTAAGCGTACCACCAGCTCATCACCCACCAGTAGAAACAGCAACGTCCACGGTGAAAGACAAGGAAACGCCTGTCCAGAGATCAGGATCAGAAATTTACCAAAGACACTACATTACGAGAAGCGGAAGAATCAGCAGAAAACCAGCTAAGTTGAACATTTAATATATGAATGCAACTACTCATTACTTAGAGACTTATAGACTAATTTTAAAGATCCATAAAAACTTTTAGTTTTCGGGACATTTACTTTAAAGAACTCGTAGTTTCATATTTTGTT